CTTTTGGAGATAGGAATGGAAGGATTTTATGGGAACTCAGTGCCTGATAGGAAGCAATTTAACCCTGGCAATTACCTACTGGGAACTGATTTCATTACCAACCACCTTGTTCAACAAATTGACTTCGCCACCATCCATCTATACGCTACTGGATGGTAAGCAGCAACTCCATGTCGTTACGTTGCTCTAAAAAATTGACATAAATTAACAATGTGAGTGGGTATAACCATATAGACTTGTTGTGGTCCTTTAGAGGCTATGGTCACAATGTGAGGTTTACTCGTGCATACCCTTAAACTGATTACGGCTTTTGTTGGGCTGAGGCTAATAAAGACCAAGTCTAGCACCTGGGAGCTAAGGGACAGTTGGACAATGGTCGGTAAAAAAGTAAAGGTCAAGTCCAACATCCAGCTGTTGAACAGTAAATTAAATAAAGTTGGGCCTTCGCTATTAGGGCTTGATCTAACAAGTGTAAGTTGGGCCTTCACTATTAGGGCTTGATCTAACAAGTGTATAGAACCAAATCACTGGTTAGAGTCCTACCAGACCGGTAAAAACGTTCGCAAATTATGCTGTGCAACCGAATGCACCTTGCAAGGTGCATACGGTTGCAAAACGGCGCCGTTTTGGTTAAAAAAACGCGCGTCCCACTTAAAGGAGAAATCAGGTTCGATTCCCGACAATAGCATTTTTATATATCCACAATTTCATAACTATATATCCATAATTTCATAACTATATATCCATAATTTCATAACTATATATCCACAGTGAATGAATGAAGTAAAAATCCACAATGAATGAATGAATGAAGTAAAAATCCACAATGAATGAATGAATGAAGTAAAAATCCACAATGAATGAACTAAATATCCACAATATATGATTGAACTAAATATCTACAATGAATGAACTAAATATCCACAATTTCATAACTATATATCCATAATTTCATAACTATATATCCATAATTTCATAACTATATATCCACAGTGAATGAATGAAGTAAAAATCCACAATGAATGAATGAATGAAGTAAAAATCCACAATGAATGAATGAATGAAGTAAAAATCCACAATGAATGAACTAAATATCCACAATATATGATTGAACTAAATATCCACAATGAATGAACTAAATATCCATAAATTCATAACTATATAACCACAATTTCATAACTATATATCCAGAATTTCATAACTATATATCCACAATAATGCTATTGCTGAGAGTCGAACCTGATTTTTTTTTTTAAGTGGGACGCGCGTTTTTAATCAAAACGACGTCGTTTTGAACCGTATGCACCATGCGCATGGTACATTCGGTTGCACAGCATAACTATTGAAAAACGTTAAGGTCTTAATAGTTTTTCTCATCACACCCAAAAAAAAAAAGGGGTCTAACATGTGAGTGGTTTACAGGCTTCCCCGAGAAAGTGAAAATGATCGGATGGAATTTGTAGAGAAGTGGATAAGAAGGCATTGGGAAGATGCAAAGACAATACTGAATAAACCCTTAGTGCTAGCAGAATTCGGAAAGAACAGCAGAGACGAAGGATTCAGCGTCGGCGTCCGAGATTCATTCATGAATAAAGTTTACAGGCAAACTTACGAGCTGGCCAAGGACGGTGGCACAATGGCGGCTAGCATGGTGTGGCAGCTGATGGCACAAGACATGGGCAGATGGGACGACGGATATTCCATTGTCCTGCCGGAAAATCCTTCCACCGCCGCTGTCATGTCCTCACAGTCGCACGCTATGGCGGAACTAGCCCACACTCTTTAGTGTTCAAAATTTATTCAGAAATAATTGAGCTCAGATCAAATGTTAAACATCATCTTTTCATAATATCATTTCACGGTGCTGTATGTGGAGTTTAAACTAAAACAATATATGTTAAAGGATATAATTATTATTTTTATAAACTGTGCATGCATATATATATCATTTGAAATTTGAAATAACCATGCATGAATTGAAGACTCAAATTTGAAATTTGAGTTGGAATCAAATTCAAATGACTTGTCATTTCAATACATACGTAATTCTTTGGTCAAAAAATTTCGTTATCAAATGTTTTTTTTTTTTTTTTTTTTTTTTTTTTTTTTGCGGATGGTTAAATATTTTATATAATAAAAGGATGTTGATGTCACGTTATCATTTTTAGAACAATAGCGGTGTGTTTTTTATGTCACTTTTTTTTTTTTTTTTTGCCAAGTTTGCATACTTAAAATTAAAATTAAAAAAAAAAAAAAAAAAAAAAGTTTTTGGGGTGGATACTATAGATGTGACCAACGGCACATGTAGCCCACACGCCGACGCTCAAATGGGTTAGTGGGGCTCAGAGCGAATAGTTATGCTGTGCATCTGTATGCACCATGCAAAAACGACGTTGTTCTATTAAAAACGCGCGTTTCCCATTTAAAAAAAAAATCAGGTTCGATTCCTAGTAACAACATTATTTTGTTCATTTATTATAGAATTTTAGTTCATGGATTATGGAATTATAGTTCATCGATTATGGAACTATAGTTCATCGATTATGGAATTATAGTTCATCGATTCTGAAATTTTAGTTCATAGATTCTGAAATTTTAGTTCATTCATTCTGAAATTTTTAGTTCATAGATTACATTATGAAATTATAGTTAATTATGGAAATATAGTTCATCGATTATGGAATTATAGTTCATCGATTATGGAATTATAGTTTCGAACTTGATTTTTTTTTAAGGGGAGACGCGCGTTTTATTAAAACGACGTCGTTTTTACATCTGTATGCACCAAGCATGGTGCATACCGATGCACAGCATAATTTGCCGCTCAGTGCCTATTCATTTTATTTTTCTAAAAAATTGTGCTAAGAACTCAAGTTTCTAAAAGAATTTTTCTCACCTCTCCATCTCTCTTCTAGTTATATTTTCTTTTGTGGAAGTACAACTATATTTTGGAGGTTCATTAAGGAGACCTTAGTTGCTACCTCGTCTAATCACTTGGAGAAAAATTGTTTTATATGAGACCTCACGTGAATGTGTATGGTTGATGTCATTGATGTTGGGTGTCGGCCGAGTTGGCCGAGTTCAGCCCCTGCTCGATTGGAGACGTGACGATGTGGCTTACCATGGAGAGATGTGGTTAAATGTTTAATGTCCACCTACTTATCACAAATTGATTTTGAGTAAGATATGGCAACCAGGTATCATAGAACTCTGTGGTTAAGCGTGCTTGACTTCCGACAATCCTGAGATGAGTGACCCCTCTGGGAAGTGAGCATAGTGCAGCGCTGAGATCCAACAATTGGTCACGGATTCGAGTCGATGGCGAGGCGGAAGCCGAGTCCAGTTAGGTCGAGCCAAGTCAAATCCCAGGAGGAGCCAAGTCAAATCCCAGGAGGGGGATGATGGACGTGTAGGCTGGAGACATTACAAAACATATTGCTCCTAAGTTCTTTTACCCACATGAACTCTAGAAGAGTGATGATTTAAATACCTATTGAGAAAGTTCGCTCTAGTGAAAATCAAGTAGATTTGTTCACTAAATCCTACCTTTGAGAAATATGTCTATAAAACCAGTATGCGAAGGCTTGGAAGACGATTGTCTTAAGGGGAAGAGATAAACTCTAAATGTGTAATTGAATAGATGGTCCAGAAGACTTTGAAAATCCTAGAGATGATGTTTGGAAAGCTTATGATTGTACTCTATCTCTTAACTAAGTTTTTCTCTCACTAGGTTTTTGATGAGGCAATCGATGCAACACATATTTTCATACTGCATGCATGTATTATTTTCCTTTACTAGGTTTTCTATTGAGAATTTTAACCAGGAATGAGTATTGTGTGATAATGGTCAATGGTGAGTGTTATAAATATTATTATTACTATTATGGCCATTATCACTAAGACTTTTCATTTGCCTTTAATTTATTCCATTGTTTATGTTAAAGTAAATAAAATAACAAAGACTAAAACTTGTGTAAAACTGTCTGGCGAGAAATCTAAAACTAAATCAGGAAAAAAATATTTATTACTTATATAGAAAAATGTAATATAATACTTTTACATTTTGATTTACAAGTATTACTATACATTTTTTTCTCAAAAATATTACATTTGTCTTTATAAGTAACAAAAATTACCAACATTACTTATAAGAGAAATTGCAATACTTTTGCTAAAAAAAAGTAATACTTTTATATCAAGGTGTAAAAGTATTATATTTGTCTTCAAAAGTATTAGGTTTCCCCTTATTAAGTAACAAACGGTTTATTCATAATTAGTATTACATTTTGCAATATAAGCATTACATTTTTCTATTGATTGGATCCCTCAGACGCACGGATAAGGATCCGTTAGGTCTCACGCAAGTGTGACCCAATAACAAAAGTGAGATCAAATAGAATCCTTAAAAAATCAGTTTTTGTTGAAGATTGATGCAATAACGAGAGAGATGGAACTGAAATAAAAGTATCTACGGGGATGGAATGCATCAAGAGATACAAAAAGAGAGAATAATGTTAATTTTGGAATGGAGGGGTTGTTAATTAATAAATATAATGGCAAAAAGAAATGTCATTTCTTAAAAACAAAGTTGAAATGAAACAATTCAAATAAAACAATTATTGTCATACTAAAGTTTGAAATCCATTGAATGTGCAAAATTGAACTTTATGTTAGGCTAGATTACTCTCACACAAGTCCACTTTGCATGGACACTAAAATGCCCAATTTATTGGGGTTTTTGAGAGTTGGGTTCAGATGTGACAAATTCATAAAAGGAATAAAGTAGAATAAAACATTATTTATGTAGAGACCCAAAAAGTGCAAGATAAAAAAGAAAATAAACCTTAGATAATATAGAAAATAAACATTTCACTTAATAAACAAAATAGACAAACCACCTACCACACATAGCAGCAGGCCAAAACATAACATTAACATTAAAATTTCCAAAAGATTTCATCCGATCCAAACCACAAAACAAACTGAAGCACCAAACATTTTTATCCATCTGCCAATACAATTCTGTCCATGATGTTTGCAACGACATCCTTAGATTCTTTAAGCAACTTGACACTCTTGGTCAACCGATAACGCTTCTCGGCGACCACCGGCGACTCCTCCAACATCCTCTCAATCCCTCCGCCGTGAGGCGCCATCAGATCACCCACAACTTCTTCCTCCAACTCCTTATTCACTAGCTTTTGAATGCTAAAAAGAACATGCAACGCCATAGAATCAACCAATCTCATCAGAACAATCTTCCAATACGCAATAATGCGCATCCTCATATCAAACGCTTGATTCACAACATCAACAAACACCCTTAGATGCCCGATTTCAATTTCAATGCCATCAATCTTGAATTTGGAGCCCTTGGAGCTGTCAATCAAAAGCTCCATGAATTCACCTTGCTTCTCCATCAGTTCATTCCATTTCGCTGAGTACTCCGGATTACAAGAGAAATCCGCCATCATTTCCATTCCTATAATTTCCAGCACCCAATCAATAGACTTCTGTTTCATCTTCGCAATCAAATTCTGGGAAGCTCGACGCATGGAAGATTGAAGCTGTGGGTAACTATCAGCATGAGTCATCAAAACTGTAACCACTATTTTTTCAATATAGTCCCAAAGCTTGGCCACAAAATCTTGTGGCCTTGTAGATATCGCTTTGAGCCTCTTTTGCAAAACGCTGAAGAACACTCTACGTGGAAGAAAATTGGGGAGCCCAATTTCTTTTGCCTCCTCCAAGGCCTGAATCTCCTCCATTAAGAAATTCTTGGAATCAAAACTCAAACCAGTTTCCCGCAACTCTTTTGCGTACTCATTCAGCATTTCCACCAATCGGGCTGTGCAATGCATTTCTTTCTCATCAGGGTACTCATCAAATTCCCCTCTAACAAGAATTTTTCTCAGTGACTCCTTGGCAGAGCTGGTAATCCGCATGAATGCCGTCAAGGCTTCAGCCACAGTGCTTAGATTCTGGGGCAGTCTGTTCAAATCGGCCATGTTGGCAGACAGCTTATCATTGATTTTCCGGACAATTTCAGGCAAACATTTCGAGATAATATTGGCTTGAATTCTCACCAATTTCTGCGCCAGTACAGGAATGGACACCATTGACTTCTCAATCTTGGACAAGAACGGATGACTCTGGAATAGCTTTGCCTCTTCAATTCTTGCTTCCTCGTACGACTCTTCGCCGATTCGGTTTCGGACGCAAACGTAACCGAGACCGATTTGAACATCGTCAGCTGTTACCTTCTCAAGCAGGCCTTCCGGTGATCGATCCGCCTTTGTCACCACCGCAAGTGTTCTCTCTCCGGTTTTATCCACTTTCTGGGACATACGGATAGACTCGCATGTCGAGAAATCCACGCTAGCCGACAGAACATTAAGGATTATGCTCTCTTCCGGAGTAATATACTCCATGATAATGTTTGAGATTTGTTCATAGATATCCTCGGGCTGGCCATGAACCGGCACCCTAGTGATTCCAGGCAAATCCACCATAGTTAAATCCGGAACACCGCACTTTTTCACAGTCAACGTTAAAGGGGCGTGAGAAATCCCCTTTCCCCGGCCGGCAACCTCCTCAGTAGCAAGCACGATAGCCTCCGCAACACTCTCTTCATCAGTCGGGACGATTTTTCCATTGAACTCTAAATGGAGCTCAGGCTCGCCAAGATTTGGGACATTCTTGAGGCGCATGATTAGAGGAACCCTTGTACATATCCCCTGCCCTCTCGGAAGGCTGATTCCGGCAAGGGACTCCAACACGCTGGACTTTCCCGACGACTGGTCGCCGACGACCACGATGGTGGGAAGCTGGATTCCCTCCTGCATGATCTTGAGGTGTCTGAGCTTATCGACACAATCAAGTAAAGGTCTTATCTTATCGTTATATGAGGAAACTATAGGGGCATCCATGGGAGTTTCACTGCATATCAGAGCCATTATAACAGAAATGTTATTACGTACGTAAGAACAGGAAGGAAATTAAATGCTTAGGAAGCAAGAACTAGAGCAGTGGTTGATAGCTTAGCTTTGTATATAGTTTGAAGCTAAGCTTTTTATAGTGATTCTTGAACATCTTAAAAACAATTAATCAAAAAATTATCTCGGGGATTGAAGTGTTTGGAATTTATGATGGTGGTTTCGAGCAGTGAACGTAAAATTACTCCGTATTTACTAGCATGGAACTTTACTATTGGAAGACAAAGAAATGCATGGAACCCTATTAACGGTAGGGTCGTTCATAATTCTATCTTTAATCTCAAACCCAATTAATCAATATTTCATTTCATTTTGATAAAATCATTTGAGACAAGGGAGTATGGCTCTGTTTGGCAAACCTAGCTGAAAAGCTATAAGCTCGGAGCTGAAAATTGAAGAGTTGTTAAGTTAGCTGTTATGATTGAAAGTGTTTGGTAAAATTAGCTTTTTGATGAGCTGATAAATATAAAAAGATTAAAAATGACATCTTCATAAAATTTAAATTATATTGTTTACATATTAAAATTTAACAGTTCGTCTTTCAAAAAAAAGTAAATATTTTTTAAAATAAAATTATTAGCATGATCATGATCTAACATCCCATAATGAAGTATCAATATTGTCATTGGTTGAAGTCATATTGCTAATTTAATAATAATAATAATAATAATAATAATAATAATAATAATAATAATAATAAAGATGAAGGGATTCACGTGAAAGTTGGGATATGAAAAGAGAAAGTGTTTTAATTCATAAGGTTAAATATATGTCATTATTTAAAATAATAAGGGTAAAGATGGAAAAAAAAAGTTAGGAAGCTAGTAGCTTATTTTGAAAAGTTACATAAAGTAGCGTTCCAAAATAAGCTCTTATTTTAAGCTAGGAACTTATTTTGGGAACATTACCAAACAGAGCTTATAGCTTATTAGTAGCTTAGAATAAGCTATAAGCTCCTAGCTTAGCGTTGCCAAACAGAGCCTATAACCAAACAAACAATTTAGCAACTAAATGATGTCATATGTATAATTAAGGGACTAAGTTGACTAGTATTGTATAATTGAGAGACTAAAATGACCATTCTCCCACATTATTATTATTATTATTATTAAAGAACATTTTAGTTTTTATATCACTTATTCTCTTTCAATTAACAATAACTATATTCTTGTCCACCAAATAATAAAATTTAAATTCTTATTTTATTATCACCTTTTTTTTTTCTCACAAAATATAATAATTACCATTCATTTATATATCCTCTATTTCTTTTCTTTTAATCAAATGCCTCGCAAGTAGGGATGTCAATCGGGCCAGCCTACTCGGTTTCGGGCTAGCCCTGTCGGGTTGTCGGGCTAATCAGTTTATTAATATTTTATTCTCGGGTTCGATTTGGCCCTAACCCTAAACTTCGGGTTGTCGGGCTAATCGGACGGGTTGCACTATCTGAACTAAAATTAGAAACTGAAAGTGAGTACTCATATTTAGAGTACGGATGACAACGGGGAGGGGCGAGAAGTATACTCCCCGTCTCCGTCCTCACAGGAAATTGAAAATAGTCCCTATCTACGTTCCCACAAAGAATTTGGGGGGACGAAGAATCTCGTCCTCATCAATTTTTAGTCAAAATATTATATTAATGTTGTTTTAAATTTAAAAAACTAAAAACTTAAGTTTTAATTTAAATAATAATAATTATAATAATAATAATAATAATAATAATTATTCCATGTATTTTAGGTTTCACATCACTTCTATAATAAAGAACAATTTTCAATAGTTCGGGTTGTCGGGCTAGCCCTTTTAATTTCGGGCTACCAGGCTAATCAGTTTCGGGCTCGTCGGGCTAATGCATTTTATTAGGCTAATCCGTTCAAATCATAGCCCTGTCGATTTCAATTTTATCGGGTTTGCACATCGGATTCGGGTTAAATTGACATCCTTCTCGCAAGTGATGTTAGGTTCAGCCATGTTTTTTGAAAATATGACTAAAAAATGAGACAAACTATCAGCTGTGGTAAACGAAAACCTATGACAAGGGGCATGAGCGGCAATACCGTTTTCCGATAATGCTGTAGTCTGCCGAGAAGTGATACAGTTTCTTTGGAAATTGCTAGTCATAATGTTGTATGCATGGTCCTTCTAACGTTTGGGTTACTTGCTTTTTTAAATAAAAGTTTTTTTTTAATAAGAGTACAAATATATTTTACAATTGTTATAAAATAATATATCATTTTTCTCATTTTATATGTCCTACTTATTAAGAAGTATTTATGAGTCAAACCAACTATTTCTTATTTGCTTATTTTCTTTAATATTTTTACTTATTTATAAATTTGATTTTTTTGTTTAATACACTACTAGAATTTATGAAATTTCCGACCACCTGAAAATAATCTTAAATTAAGTCGAAAGTCTTGTTCCGACCACTTTTGATATCCGGAAAAGTCATCTGTTATAAGTGGGTGTTCAATTTAAGGGTATTATCGTCAAATCCGTCAATCTTTATGTAAATTGCTTCCTCAATCCATAATTTCCCTCTTTATATGTGGAAAATCTTGTTGAACACTTCTGAGTGAACAGAGATGGTTGTATCTCAATGGAATCCATGAGAGAAATTTTTACAACGCAAGGAGAGAGGGAAATGTGTCAAAACCACCACCAGTAGTAGGCTACGGGATACGACATTTTTACTCCTTACATAGTACACATATTGCTGATATATACACTATTTTGATGTCGACATTGTGGACGAAGCAAAAAAGTTTAATGAAAGGAATGAAGGTAAATTTAACACTAACTTAACAGAAAGACTAACGGAGGACTATTTGTGGTAAAAAATGAAAGTCGTGGTACATGTTTTGGTCAAATTGAAAGTCAAGGACTAAAAGAAGTACTACTCCAATAGTCAGAGAATCATTTGTGGTATTAACTCTAATTTAATAAAAAAAAATTAATATATTAGCTAAGAAAAAAATTTGTGTGAGATCGTTTCACTAATCTTTGTTTGTGAGACGGATCGTGTTATAAACAACGACGAGTTTTACTTATGATAGAAATCATAATATTTATTACAAACAAATTTAATACCTATTTGAAACAAATAAATTGTTATTTATAATAAATATATTGTAATATTTATATGCAAAATTGTGATACTATTTAAGGTAAAATGATTATTATTAATGATAAATATTATAATACTTATAACTGAAATTATATATGACACTTATAAAAATATAAATCTAATGCAAATATTATAATACTTATATGTGAAATTGTTATTTATAATAAATATCGTAATATTTATATATATAATTATACTTTTATTGTTAGGCATCACGAAAAGAAATATTATTTGCAATAGCAATTCGAGATTGTAGACAACAACAAGGTGCTACTGTTTTCAACCCCAAATTGTTGTTGCGAACAGTAATTCGCTATTCGTAGTAACTCATTGTTAAAAAAAGAGGAAAAATATATATTATGAATATAAACATAAAAAAGAATAAAAATCAAAATATATAAGTATTTATATGAATATTATGAAACATATACTAAAATTTGAAGATGAAAAATTTGCTTTGTTCATGTATTTAAGGAGAATTAGAGGAAGTTAGGGATAAAAAATTCATATAGAAAAAATAAAAATCAATATAGACAAGTAATAATGAAGTAAAAATAATATTATTTCGAATTTTTAGTTGAAGATGGTAAAGTGTAGGAGAGAAAAAAAAAATTGGTAGAGTTTAGGTATGAAGAAAGTATAGAATAATGAAGAAAAAAGTAATTTTATTGAATTTAGATAGGTTTATAAAGTTGAAACAGGAAGAAAAAATAGAGTTTAAATAGAGAGAGAAAACATTTAAAGTTGTTAGAAATAAAATTTTGAAATCTTGGGGTTGATGGTTGGATTTAACTATTTATATTTGAGAAGAAAAAGTCTACAAAAATCTTAAAATTAAAAAGTCTACAAAAGTTTATAACTTTTTGAATACCACATGACTTTTAAAAACTCTTTAAAAGTCTTAATCGAATACCACACCACTTTTAAAGACTCTTTAAAAATCTTGATTGAATACCGCATGACTTTTAAAGACTCTCTAAAAGTTTGAATTGAATACCTTCAAACTTTTAAAGTTCATAAAAGTCTTTAAAACTCTACGAAAGTCATGATTGAATACACCCCCTAAGAGCAACTGGACCTCGTAGTAGCGGAAGCGGAAGCAGTGTTGATCTCCAACCACATCTTGTTGTGTTGCATCTTGAACGGTAGGTCGTTAGCCATTTTTGTTCCATACTTAACTTAGAACCACCTAGTATAGGTATCTATGACAAATTATGTTGTGCATCCGTATGCACCATGCATGGTGCATACGGATGCAAAAACGACGTTGTTTTAATAAAACGCGTGTCTTCCCTTAAAAAAAAAATCAGATTGGATTCCCAGCAACAACATATGAACTAAAATTCCATAATCGATGAATTATAATTCCATAATCGATAAACTATAATTCCATAATCGATGAACTATAATTCCATAATCGATGAACTATAATTCCATAATCTAATCTATGAACTAAAAATTCCAGAATGAATGAACTAAAATTCCATAATCTATAAACTAAAATTTCAGAATCGATGAACTACAATTCCATAATCGATGAACTATAATTCCATAATCAATGAACTATAATTCCATAATCTATGAACTAAAATTTCAGAATGAATGAAATCAAGAAAACAAAACCTAATTTCTCAGGAATACCCTGGCTCTGTTTGGCAAACCTAGCTGAAAAGCTATAAGCTAGGAGCTGATAGCTGAAAATGAGCTGAAAGCTGAAAAGCTATAAGCTCGGAGCTGAAAATTAAAGAGTTGTTAAGCTAGCTGTTATGATTGAAAGTGTTTGGTAAAATTAGCTTTTTGATAAGCTGATAAATGTAAAAAGACTAAAAATGACATATTAAAATTTAACAGTTCGTCTTCCAAAAAAAGTAAACATTTTTAAAAAATAAAACTATTAGCATGATCATGATCTAGCATCCCATAATGAAATAGCAATATTGTCATTGGTTGAAGCCATATTGCTAATTCAATAAGAAGAAGAAGAGGAGAGGAAGAATAAGAAGAAGAGGAGAGGAAGAAGAAGAAGAATAAGAAGAAGAAGAAGAAGGAGGAGGAGGAGGAGGAGGAGAGCTACTAGCATGATTTACTAGGTTAAAATATGTCATTACTTTAAAATAATAAGGGCAAAGATGGAAAAAAAGTTAGGAAGCTATTAGCTTATTTTGAAAAGCTATCTAAAGTAGCGTTCCAAAATAAGTTCTTATTTTAAGCTAGGAGCTTATTTTAAGAACATTACCAAACAAAGCTTATAACTTATCGTTGCCAAACAGAGCCCCTATGAACTTTGCCAAAATGGAGTGGAAAGAGATGAAGATTTACTAACCTCCAAAAGAAGAAATAACAAATTGATTTGTCCATTTTCACAATTACACTTACACTGCACAAAAAAAGGGAAGAAATGAACCCTACAACAATTTCAATTCAAAACTCCATACAAATCTTAGATGTGTAAAAGATCAAGGAAACACTTAGAGAACCATAACAAGCAAGCCAAAACAAAATATCAAAAGAAATTCATAATTAGAGTAAAAAAAAAAAGACTTTCAAAAAGAGTAAAAAAAAAAAGACTTTCAAAAAGAGTAAAAAAAAAAAGAAACAATTACTAGAAATCAAATATGAGTTCAGAATGGAATTTCCAATATATCTCATAGAGAATACAAAACAAAGATCAATCAAACATACATATAGGTAAATGTTGAAAAAGCAAAAGTTCAACCTTAAATAAAAAGGAGAACTCACAAGAAAGTAATCAAGCAACGAATTGGAAAAAGTTTGTATCCATTTTTGAGTTTCTGTACTCGTTGCTAAGGTGAATACGGAAGTTTAGCCAACATTATATAGGAGAGAGATATATAGCTACTAAATGACATTAGCACTTTCGTGACAGTTCTTTGACATGAGCGCAAACTCTCAAAATTTGAAATTTTTGCGTTTAGGCCAGGGTAAGTAGGAAACCAAGAAAATAAAACATAATTGCTCCGGAAGTCCCTATGAAATTTGTCCATTTTTGCATTTGCACTTGCACTGCACACAAAAGAAAAAAATGAACCCTACAACAATTTCAATCTAAAACTCCATACAAATCTCAAAAGTCTTAAATATTATGGAAACGCTTAAACATCCATGATAATAATGCCAAAAAAATTGTCTCACAAGAAATTCACATTTAGCTGTGTTGCATAAATCGTGCCTAGCTAGGCGCTAAGCGCCGTCCGGCCACCGCGAGGAAGGCGGCGAACCGGCCGATTTTTTTTTTTTTTTTTTTTTAAAGGTTGTTGAAAAAGTGTTAAAAGTTCGGCAATACATAACTTTTGACTCGATTGTCTGTTTTGGAAAGCGTTAAAGTACCCTAGGCATAGTATTAACTTGGAAGAGATAAAAAATAAATAAACAGCTTGAAAAAACAGCCCAAGGGGCTGACGGTCAACAATTCCCTTCGGTTGATGGCCAACTGACCACCGGATAATGAACCAGTTGTAGAGCGCCCGTCGATCCGATAAAAAAAATAAAAATAGAAGCAAGAATAACCGACTAGTCAAGCGTTCGGTCACCAACTGTCTGCCAACGAACGAGCGAACCAATCGCCTAGCGCTAGTGTAGGATATCCAATAATGCTAACCGACCGGTCAGTCTAGTCGCCCAGCTGATTCCCTTGGCTACCAGTAAGCCGCAAGCAACAGTCGACCACCGAAATAATAATATTAAAAAAAAAAACTTCCACAGACTTTGTGCCCATAGCACTGCATAGATACATGGCGATGTGGAGATGCAAATACATTACATATAACAAGAAGCATACACTTCAGTGTTGCGTGCCTTAAAGCTCCAACCGATGCCATTGTTGGGAGCAAGAAAGTTTAATTACTGAACTTGAGAAAGAGTAGAGAGAGAGGATGAGGGGAAGAAAAGAAAACTCTGGTCTCGACATCTACTACAACAAATAACACTGACCAGACAACAACGAAGAGGATGGCTTACCCACAGCTGTGAGTGTTGATGGCGTCCGTTGATTCAAGCAGTTTGCCGTAGAGAGGTCAGAGGAGTAAGGTGGTGAGATATCTACACTAAGAGCATCTACATCAGAGTAAAAATGAGGGAATTCACTACTTTTGAGGCCAAAATGCCATAATAGCATAGAGAGAATCAAGAGAGAGAAGGGGTCGGGAGCAAGAAGGGGTCGGGAGCATCTGTAAATGTTGGGATATTACTCTGCCCAAGAAAAAGAATTAATGATGGAGGAGAGAGAACCAATAGAGAAATGACATACTTATTTTATATATTTTTTTATAAAATCAGTTTTGATTTTTTTTCCTCCCCTCCCACATTATTCTCTTTCCTACTCAGTCTTATATTCTCCCTGAAATTTCACCGTGACACTTGAAAAACAAAAGCAATGTATTTTTACTTGTTAATTAGGTTATGCAGTAGTTATGTTCATTAATTAAACTTGTTTAAGCAAATGTAAATAATGAAAGCTAAAAGCATAAAGAATGTAAAAAACACAAAGAAATGTTACGCAGTTCGGAGCTCCTTCTCCTACGTCTGCGGGGCAGACCACGTCTGCCCAATCCACTATAGATGTTTACCAAAAGGAGTATTACAAGAGGTAAATACAGATGGCCTCCAGCCTTTACCACTACCACTCTTTCTAACACCTATCTAGGATTGACACACGAATACCCAAACAATCTTCACAAGATGCTTCAGCAGTACCACGTACTGATCATGTAGTACAGATTAAATATTTTTAAGAATTAAATAATAAAACACATTAAAATCGAAGGCTTTGTAAATCAGAAGTGTGCTCTTGAATATTAATCTCAAGGTTGACATTCTTCTTTCGAACAACTTCTTTAAATACTAGATGACAAGCCTCATTAGTGATCCTTAATCATATAGCCTTCATTTGTTCGAATGATTCACAGCCACATCTTTTGTTTTCTTTGAACACTTCATGCGTTGCTGACTTCTTCATTTATCAATGCATCCCATCCACATACTTATATCACATGGTCCAAAATATCATAAATTCTAACAACTCTTAATTAATTGTTTAATTAAAACAAATAAAACTATTACTAAATAAAATAGCCAATAAGGTTAATGTGTAAATAATGTACATTATTTTTGTACTGAGTGTACATTATATTGTATAATGTACACTTAGTACAAAAATAATATTCATTCAGTAAAAAAATAATGTATTTTTTGTTATGGTCCACACAACACTGTGTGGACCATGGTCCACACAATAATTTGCCAAGAAAGTGGGAAACTGGATGATGGATAGCATACTAGGCTTGGGCCATACGGACCGGCCCAATAAAACAACTCGATCAAGAAAGTCCAAGAGAGATATACAGTACGGAGCAATCAAGAGCATATTAAGGATTGAGCCTATTATTCCTAGTGTAATTAGAATTGTACTCATTTTTTTTTTTTGTATAATAGAATTAGATCTTGTAACTAAGACTCCCAGACAATCTAGAATTGTTATTCCTGGTAGGACTCTAGGTCCAAAATAGGTATAAATAGACGCCTCACATACAAGAGAGTGAGAGAACTTTCAGCGATTTAATACTCTTCGATACAAAATTCCTTCCTATATTTTCTCTTATATTTTTTCTATTTTCTTGTTATTCTAAGGCCTGGCGTTGGAATTATACTTTGAGTTTTGTATCCGAGCTATATCAAGTCAACCACTGCTCTGGTTCTTACTGCCTAAGCATTTTCTTCCTGTTCTTACATTAATAGCATTACTGTTATCATGGTTCTGATATGTAGACAATCTCCTATGGAAGCACCAATTGTTTCGTCATATAACGACAAGATCAGACCTTTACTAGATTGTATCGATAAGCTCCGACACCTTAAGATCATGCAGGAGGGAATCCAGCTTCCCACCATCGTGGTCGTCGGCGACCAGTCATCGGGAAAGTCTAGCGTTCTCGAGTCCCTTGCCGGAATCAGCCTGCCGAGAGGGCAGGGCATATGTACAAGGGTTCCTCTAATCATGCGCCTCAAGAATGTCCCGAATCTTGGCCAGCCTGAGCTCCATTTGGAGTTCAATGGAAAAACCGTCCCGACTGATGAAGAAAGTGTTGCAGAGGCTATCGTGCTTGCTACTGAGGAGGTTGCCGGCCGGGGAAAGGGGATTTCTCACGCCCCTTTAACGTTGACAGTGAAAAAGTGCGGTGTTCCTGATTTAACAATGGTGGATTTGCCTGGAATTACTAGGGTGCCGGTTCACGGCCAGCCCGAGGATATCTACGAACAAATCTCCAACATTATCATGGAGTATATTACTCCCGAAGAGAGCATAATCCTTAATGTTCTGTCGGCTAGCGTGGATTTTTCTACATGTGAATCTATCCGTATGTCCCAGAAAGTGGATAAAACAGGAGAGAGAACACTTGCGGTGGTGACAAAGGTGGATCGATCACCGGAAGGCCTGCTTGAGAAGGTATCAGCCGATGATGTTCACATCGGGCTCGGTTACGTTTGTGTCCGAAACCGAATCGGCGAAGAGTCCTATGAAGAAGCGAGAATGGAAGAGGCAAAGCTATTCCAGAGTCATCCTTTCCTTTCCAAGATTGAAAAGTCCATGGTGTCCATTCCTGTACTGGCGCAGAAATTGGTGAGGATCCAAGCCAATATTATCTCGAAATGTTTGCCTGAAATTGTCCGGAAAATCAATGATAAGCTGACAGCCAACATGGCTGATTTGAACAGACTGCCCAAGAATCTAAGCACGGTGGCTGAAGCCTTGACGACATTCTTGCGGATTATCAGCTCAGCCAAGGAGTCGCTTAGAAAAATTCTTGTTAGAGGTGAGTTTGATGAGTACCCTGATGAGGAAGAAATGCATTGCAAGGCACGATTAGTGGAAATGCTAGATGAGTATGCGGAAGATTTGCGCGTATCTTTTGATAGCAATAATTTCTTAATGGAAGAAATTTTGGCCTTGGAAGAGACAAAAGAGATTAGTTTGCCCAATTTTCTTCCCCGTAGAGTGTTCCTTAGCATTCTGCACAAAAGGGTTAAGGCAATATCTACAAGGCCAGAAGATTTTGTGGCCAAGTTGTGGGACTATATTGAGAAGATGGTGGTTAGGGTTTGGAAGGAATATGCAGAAAGTTATCCACAGCTTCTGTCTTCCATGAAGCGAGCTTCCCAGAATTTGATTGCGAAGATGAAGCAGAAGTCTGTTGATTGGGTGCAGGAAATAATCGGAATGGAAATGATGGCGGATTACTCTTGCAATCCAGAATACTCAGCAACATGGAGTAAACTGATGGTGAAGCAAGGAGAGTTGATGGAGCGTTTGAATGACAGCTCCAAGGGGTCTAAGTTAAATATTGACGGCAACAAAATTGAAATCAGCCATCTAAGGGGTTTTGGTAGCGATGCTGTTTGTAAAGCGTTTGATATGAGGATGAGAATTATTGCGTATTGGAAGATTGTTCTGATGAGGCTGGTTGACTCCATGGCGTTGCATGTTCTTTATAGCATTCAAACGCTGGTTAATAGAGAGTTGGAGGAAGAAGTTGTGGGTGATCTGATGGCGCCTCACGGCGGAGGGATTGAGAGGATGTTGGGGGAGTCGCAGGTGGTCGCGGAGAAGCGTTATCGGTTGAGCAAGAGTGTCAAGCTGCTCATGGAATCTAAGGATGTTGTTGCCAACATCATGGACAGAATTGTATTGGCAGATGGATAAAAATGTTTGGTGCTTCACTTTGTTTTTGGGTACGTTTGGATCACATGAAATCTTTTGAAAATCTTTAATGTTAATGTTTTGTTTTGGCCTGGTATGTGTGGTGGGTGGATTGTCAAGACTCAAGCTAAGAGTGGTATTTTGTTTATTAAGTAAATGTTTATTTTCTATATTATCTGGCACGTTTTGGGGCTCTACATAAATAATGTTTTATTCTAGCTTTTTCCTTTTATGAATTCATCACATACTCACATCTGAACTCTCCCGTTCATTTATCAATCGATATACCCTGCACTACAGCGCACATAGCACTGTGCGGTTATACACTGCACTACAGCCCATAACCGTGCACTACAGCGCACATAGCGAACGACGTTATTTTGTTAAGTTGTGTAGGTAGTTGACGCGATTATGTACATTTTGTTATACAATTATGTACATTTTTTTTATTATACAAGTATGTACATCCAAAACATGAAATTTATGTGCATTATGTTAAGAGTTTATGTGTATTATGTATTATGTTAGATTATGTGTATTATGTATTATGTTAGATTATATGTATTATCTTTTCAAAAAAGAGTATGTGTATTTTGTGATACAATTATGTACATTTTAATATATAATTATGTACATTTTTAAACAACCGACAAACGAAAGCGAAATTTCTAAAATAAAAATAAAAATTTCAAAACGACGTCGTTTTGCACCAGGGCGCACAATGCAATGCGCGCCCTGGTGCACGATATAAATTGCCTTCATTTATTTACATCCGAATAAATCATTAATTTGAAGAGAACAAACTCTCAGAAACCCCAACGAATTGGACATTTCATTGTCCATCCAAAGTGGACTTGTCTAACTAAATTAAAAGTTTGCACATTCAATGGATTATATTGAAAACACATACCTATATATGTTTGGTTTGTAAAATTGGTATTTCAATTCGTTTCAATTAACTTTTAGTATGACAATAATTATTTTATTTGAATTGTGGTTCATTTCAACTTTGTTCTTAAGAAATGGCATTTCTTTTTTGCATTATATTTATTAATTAACAACCCCTCCATTCCAAAACTAGCATAGATCTACTTTTATTTCTGTTCCATCTCTCTGATTGCATCAATTTTCAACAAATTTGAGTTGTTTAAGAATTCTACTCGATCTCACTTTTGTTATTGAGACCGTCTCACGAATTCTTATCCGTGTGTTTGGTCGGATCGGGTCAATATGAAAATGTAATACTTAATTATATTGCAAAATGTAATACTAATTACGAATAAAGTGTTTGTTACTTATAAGAGGAACATAATACTTTTGAAGACAACTGTAATACTTTTACATTTTGATATAAAAGTATTACTTTTTTAAAAAAAGGTATTGCAATTTCCCTTATAATAATGTTGGTAAATGTTTGGTACTTATAAAGGCAAATGTAATACTTTGGATTAAGGGTCAAATTAGCCACTGAACGAAACTTGAAAGTGCAATTAAGCCACTGTACTAAAAAAGATTGCAATTACACCCTTCAACAAGCCAAATGGGTGCAATTTCACCAGTCTCCTTCCGGTTACCTGGTGACTTGTACGCTGAGCTGGCAATTATTTTCTTTTTCTTTCCCATTTCTTCCTAAAAGCCTGTCTTTCCCATTGAAACTTCTAAAAAAGTTTATCAGATATGATCCCACAGCGCCTCTTAGAGTCTTAGTGGTATCGACCGTGAACTGTGAACAGAGCCCCTAACATGAAACGAACGTTGGCGGCGGCGGAGTTGACAGATGTCGCCAGGGATCTGCCACTATCGTTGTCGAACACCAGAAGGAAAAGGGAAAATTAAATGTGAGAAACATGACGGAGTTGAAGGTCGACATCACTGCGGTGAAGGTCATAAGGCATGAACCTCTGTGCATTGATAAAGAGAGCTAAAACCGTCGTGAAGGTCAACTGGGTTGTGATAAGAAGAGAGAGAGTAGAAATTTCAATGGAAGAAATAAGAAAGAAAAGGGAAATAATTGCCAACTCAACGTCCATGTCACCAGGTAACCGGAAGGAGAGGGCGTTTACCTGCTAGCCGATAAAATTGCACACATTTCACTTGTTGAATGGTGTAATTGCAATCTTTTTTAGTACAGTGGTCTAATTGCACTTTCAGGTTTCGTTCAGTGGTTAATTTGACCCTTATTCCTAATACTTTTGATGAAAAATGTAATACTTTTAAATCAAAATATAAAAGTATTGCATTTTCATATAAATAATAAACATTTTTTTCCTAATTTAGTTTTAGATTTTTTTCGTGAGATAGTCTCACATGCATACACAAGTTTTTTGTCTTTGTTATTTTATTTTCTTTAACATAAACAATGGAATAAATGAAAGGCAAATGAAAAGTCTTAGTGATAATGATCATAATAATAATAATATTTATAACACTCCCGTGGGCCATTATCACACAATACTCATGCGTGGTTAAAAATCTCGCTAGAAAACATAGTCAAGGAAAAGAGTACATACATTATGAAAATATGTTGCATCGGTTGCCTCATCAAAAACCTTAGCATAAGAAAAATTCAATGGGAGAAAAACTTAGTTAAGAGCAAAACAAAATACAACCATACGCTTTCCGAGTATCATCTCCATGATTTAAAGTCTTCTAGACCGTCTATTCAATTACACTTAGAGTTTATCGCTTCACCTTAAGACAACCGCGCGTCTTCCAAGCCTTTGCATACCAGTTTTATAGACATATTTCTCAAATATGGATGTAGGCAGGGATTTAGTGAACAAATCTACTAGATTTTCACTAGAACGAGCTTTCTCAATAGGTATCACTCTTCTGGAGTTCATGTGGGTAAAAGAACAGATATAGGAGCAATATGTTTCGTAAGATCTCCTTTAATGTACCCACTACAGATCTGTGCAACACAGGCTGCATTGTCCTCATCTAGGGCAGTGGGGGAATCAACTTTGCTCATTATACCGCATGAGCTATGGATCAGATATGTTGTATCAATGACCTCAACCATACACATTCACCTGAGGTCTCATATAAAGTAATTTTCTCTGAGTGATTGGACATTTGGACGAAGTAGCAACTATGGTCTACTTAATGCACCTCCAAGATATAGATGTACTTTCATAAAAGAAAACATAACTAGAAGAGAGAGGGAGAGGTGAGCAAAAATAAAGTTCTTTTGCAAACTTGAGTTCTTGACACATGCAATTTTTGAGAAGAAAAATGAAAGAGGCTCTGAGCCCCATTCCCTCATTTGAGCCGGCGTGTGGACTACATGTGCCCGTTGGTCGCATCTCTAGTATTCACCCAAAAAATACCTTTTTTTTTTTTTTAAGTATTATATATTTTTTAAATATTTTCTTTTAATTTTGTTTTAAATTTTAAATATGCAAACTTGGCACAAAAAATGTGACAAAAAACACACCACAATTGTTCTAAAAATGATAACGTGACATCAACATCCTTTTTTAATCAAAATATTTAACCATCCGCAGAAAAAAAAAATGCATCATTTGATAACGAAATTTTTCGACCAAAGAGTTGCGAATGTACGTATTGAAATGACAATTCATTTGAATTTGATTCCAACTCAAATTTCAAATTTGAGTCTTCAATTCATGCATGATTATTTCAAAGTTCAAATGACATATGCTTTAACTTTGTTTTAGTTTAAACTCCACATACAGCACCGTGAAATGATATATATTATGAAAAGATGATGTTTAACATTTGAGGTGTGAATAAATTTTGAAGACTAAAGAGTGTGGGCTAGGTTCGCCATGGCGCGCGACTGGGAGGAAATGACAGCAACGGTGGAAGGATTTTCCGGCAGGACGATGGAATATCCTATCGAGAGGCTTTGAGGGACTTTCATGTAATTTCATTCCTTGATGAAAGTTGTTAGAGGCGGTTACATCATAACCGTATATATATAGTCTAGCATCTGTTGTAATCACAGATTTTTTTTTTTCCATTCATTCGGTTCACTTCCTCAATACAACTCAAGTTTTCCCTCCTCTTTTTTACTTCTGATCTTCCAATGCCATCCTAATCAACATGGTATCAGAGCGATGGCGCACCACCTACGCCGCTGCAGTTACCGGCGCCGGAGAGAACAGCCAAGGAGAAGATGCTGCCTCACCGGTCGTCCAAACACCAAGCCAAGCTGTTCCAGAAGTGATTCCACAAGGGAATCGTTTCCAGTCCGAAAGGAACTATAACATTCACGAGTTGGAGAATCCGCTGTTCTTCAGCTCCAGTGATAGCGCTTCTGCGATCCTCGTCAGTCCGGTGTTGGCGGGAAGTTCGAACTACGGCAGCTGGAGCATATCAATGAAGATCGCCCTAGAAGTGAAGAACAAATGGACGATCGTCGACGGAAGCACTCCAGCGCCGAGCAGAGATCAGAGTCACCATGCTGCTTGGAGACGATGCAACTTGATGATTTGTTCATGGATCTTCAAGTCGCTGCATCCTTCCATAGCGCAGAGCGTAATGCATCTGGATAATGCGAAGAGCATATGGGAGGATCTAAGGCGGAGATTCTCGCAACAAGACGCACAGAGGATTTCGAGTTTGCAGTCCGAGATGTACAACTTGAAGCAAGGATCTCTTACCGTCAGTGAGTATTATACCAGATGCAGGACATTGTGGGAAGAGATGAACACTTTGAGACCATTACCTCTCTGCAAATGCGATCCTAGGTGCTGCTGCGACCTCATGGAGATCATCCGGAAGGAGAGAGACACGGATCAAGTGATCCGATTCTTACAAGGCCTTAGTGATGAATACAATAATCTTAAGTCTAATGTGCTTGTTTTAGATCCCTTGCCGGAGGTTTATAAAATCTTCGTTATGGCAGAAAAATTGGAGAGACAAGCTAGATTAACCAATTTGACTCTGGCAGGTTCGGATGTCATTCAAACTAATGCTGTGCAGGGCTTCACAACTGATGAGATAGTAGCAGCAGCTCCTTACTATTCCAATGGGAA